GTTCTCATTGGCTGCGCTGGCTTCATCATTGGCTGTCCCTTGTATTTTCTCAAGTTGGCTAGCGCTGGCTATCACTTTGGCTGTTCCAGTATGTTCCCTCATTGGCTGCTGCTGGCTTTCTCTATTGGCTGTCCTGTATGTTCCTCATTGGCTGACGCTGGGTCTTCTTCTCATGTGGCCGCGCTAGCTCCCAATAGTTCCCTGGCATGGGTTGAAGGTCACATTTGGTGAGGTGATGTTCATACGTAGTTGTGGCAATGGAAAGACACCCTTGACGTCCCCTAAGATGGAGCCCCATGTTGGGGTCGGCACATGCGGACTTGGTTTACATGATTGGCTAAGACATCATTCCATCGTGGTCAGCGACTGTATTCGATGTCACTACCAAAATCCTCGTACATTGTCTTCACTAAGAAACACATCTAAAAGTCGTCCTTTGGGCTGATCTACACTGGCTCCACCAACTGTGGAAGGCAGCTCCGCATCCTTACTGCTCTAACAGTGAAAACTTCTTCCCCGGTATAAAGTGAGTGTAAAGGCTCAAGGTTTTTACCTATTTATGTATGAAGCTGAAAAAGTCATTCTGTGTGCAGCTGCCCTCCCCCCCCCTCCTCCTCCAAATTCTTACCTGAGCCCCACTGCGAACCTGCGCTGTGTGCACAGGAGCCTCGGCTCTCTGGGGGCTCTCCCTCCTTATTGGCTGAGGCAGCAGTGGGAGGAGAGAAAGGGGGCGAGGCTGAGTCATGGCTCTGTGTGTGAATAGAGATGCAGAGCAGCGGCTCAGGAGCGAGTCTCCTTGGGTGCCCCCACGGTTAGCTGTTTGCTCTGGGGGCACTTGCCAGGAGCGTCGGTGGTGGACCCAAGAAGTGAAGGATCGGGGCCACTCTGTGCAAAAACCATTACAGAGCCGGGAAGTATAAAAATGTTAAAGGAAAATTACAACAAATTCCCTTTTTACCATCATTTTAAAATTGAACTGCATTGTGTGGTCGGCCTTTACTAAGGGGGGCAATGCCGGTCATCATTGCCCCCCCCCAGGGCAGGAAGCATCTCCAATGGAGTCCTGGATAGCCAGAAGTTCTAGCCCTTCCCCCACCCCCATCCACAACTAAACAAATCGTTCTGGGCCTCGATATTTTTACATCTGCCAGTGATTGGATATCCATCATCTGACCTCCATCACCCCACACCTCCATACATTGTTCAGGGGGAGGGGAGGCCTCCTAGCAATGGGGACAGATCTACAGAGATGTATTAATAATGGTGGATGGTTAGGCGTTGTCATCAGAAGCAGTAAATCCTCCGCGTGACTCCAGGTCCTGAAATAATACTCCATCCTTGGACCCAGAAATGATTCAGGGAGGAGTTTCCTGCACAGATGATACATCACTCTTCCTGCTCTGATTGGTCCAATTAATAAGTATTATCAGTCCAGCCCAATGTAACCAATGAGCTCGTTCCATGGGCCACCTAATACAATACTCCCACTTCTATGCATTTATGGATGGAGCCACCAATGGACCATTGATGGAACCTCATGGTCTTCTGATGCGACCCCCGGCCCATCCCATCCCATAACCACGTGGTCTTCTGATGCGACCCCCAGCCCCCATCCCATAACCACGTGGTCTTCTGATGCGACCCCCAGCCCATCCCATAACCACGTGGTCTTCTGATGCGACCACCAGCCCATCCCATAACCACGTGGTCTTCTGATGCGACCCCCAGCCCATCCCCCATAAACCACGTGGGTCTTCTGATGCGACCCCCAGCCCATCCCATAACCACGTGGTCTTCTGATGCGACCACCAGCCCATCCCATAAACCACGTGGTCTTCTGATGCGACCCCCAGCCCATCCCATAACCACGTGGTCTTCTGATGCGACCCCCAGCCCATCCCATAACCACGTGGTCTTCTGATGCGACCACCAGCCCATCCCATAACCACGTGGTCTTCTGATGCGACCCCCAGCCCATCCCATAACCACGTGGTCTTCTGATGCGACCCCCAGCCCATCCCATAACCACGTGGTCTTCTGATGCGACCACCAGCCCATCCCATAACCACGTGGTCTTCTGATGCGACCACCAGCCCATCCCATAACCACGTGGTCTTCTGATGCGACCACCAGCCCATCCCATAACCACGTGGTCTTCTGATGCGACCACCAGCCCATCCCATAACCACGCGGTCTTCTGATGCGACCCCCAGCCCATCCCATAACCACGCGGTCTTCTGATGCGACCACCAGCCCATCCCATAACCACGCGGTCTTCTGATGCGACCACCAGCCCATCCCATAACCACGCGGTCTTCTGATGCGAACACCAGCCCATCCCATAACCACGCGGTCTTCTGATGCGACCACCAGCCCATCCCATAACCACGCGGTCTTCTGATGCGACCACCAGCCCATCCCATAACCACGCGGTCTTCTGATGCGACCACCAGCCCATCCCATAACCACGCGGTCTTCTGATGCGACCACCAGCCCATCCCATAACCACGCGGTCTTCTGATGCGACGCCCATCCCATAACCACCAGCCCATCCCATCCCATAACCACGCGGTCTTCTGATGCGACCACCAGCCCATCCCATAACCACGCGGTCTTCTGATGCGACCACCAGCCCATCCCATAACCACGCGGTCTTCTGATGCGACCACCAGCCCATCCCATAACCACGCGGTCTTCTGATGCGACCACCAGCCCATCCCATAAACCACGCGGTCTTCTGATGCGACCCCCAGCCCATCCCATAACCACGCGGTCTTCTGATGCGACCACCAGCCCATCCGATAACCACGTGGATTCTGATGCGACCACCAGCCCATCCCATAACCACGCGGTCTTCTGATGCGACCCCCAGCCCATCCCATAACCACGCGGTCTTCTGATGCGACCACCAGCCCATCCCATAACCACGCGGTCTTCTGATGCGACCCCCAGCCCATCCCATAACCACGCGGTCTTCTGATGCGACCACCAGCCCATCCCATAACCACGCGGTCTTCTGATGCGACCACCAGCCCATCCCATAACCACGCGGTCTTCTGATGCGACCCCCAGCCCATCCCATAACCACGCGGTCTTCTGATGCGACCCCCAGCCCATCCCATAACCACGCGGTCTTCTGATGCGACCACCAGCCCATCCCATAACCACGCGGTCTTCTGATGCGACCACCAGCCCATCCCATAACCACGCGGTCTTCTGATGCGACCACCAGCCCATCCCATAACCACGCGGTCTTCTGATGCGACCCCCAGCCCATCCCATAACCACGCGGTCTTCTGATGCGACCACCAGCCCATCCCATAACCACGCGGTCTTCTGATGCGACCACCAGCCCATCCCATAACCACGCGGTCTTCTGATGCGACCACCAGCCCATCCCATAACCACGCGGTCTTCTGATGCGACCCCCAGCCCATCCCATAACCACGCGGTTCTGATGCGACCACCAGCCCATCCCATAACCACGTGGTCTTCTGATGCGACCACCCAGCCCATCCCATAACCACGCGGTCTTCTGATGCGACCCCAGCCCATCCCATAACCACGCGGTCTTCTGATGCGACCACCAGCCCATCCCATAACCACGCGGTCTTCTGATGCGACCCCCAGCCCATCCCATAACCACGTGGTCTTCTGATGCGACCCCCAGCCCATCCCATAACCACGCGGTCTTCTGATGCGACCACCAGCCCATCCCATAACCACGTGGTCTTCTGATGCGACCCCCAGCCCATCCCATAACCACGTGGTCTTCTGATGCGACCCCCCCATCCCAGCCCATCCCCCATAACCACGTGGTCTTCTGATGCGACCCCCAGCCCATCCCATAACCACGCGGTCTTCTGATGCGACCACCAGCCCATCCCATAACCACGTGGTCTTCTGATGCGACCCCAGCCCATCCCATAACCACGTGGTCTTCTGATGCGACCCCCAGCCCATCCCATAACCACGTGGTCTTCTGATGCGACCACCAGCCCATCCCATAACCACGCGTCTTCTGATGCGACCACCAGCCCATCCGATAACCACGCGGTCTTCTGATGCGACCACCAGCCCATCCGATAACCACGCGGTCTTCTGATGCGACCACCCCAGCCCATCCGATAACCACGCGGTCTTCTGATGCGACCACCAGCCCATCCCATAACCACGCGGTCTTCTGATGCGACCACCAGCCCATCCGATAACCACGCGGTCTTCTGATGCGACCACCAGCCCATCCCATAACCACGTGGATTCTGGTTTAACCAAAGAAATATTTAAAAGGTGGAGATGAAGAAAAGACGAGCTTAACAAATATAATTCATTACATAATAAACAGGTAAATCAGGATGCAAAATAGCACAACAAGACCCCCATCCAAAGTATGATCTGCTTGGTGTAGCTACAAGGAATTGTCCACACTTGTCCTATCTACATGATATTGCTCCAAGTATTGACCCCCCCCTCCCAATCATGTGATTCAGATGTGCCAATCCCCTCCCAATCATGTGATTCAGGTGTCCAATCCCCTCCCATCATGTGATTCAGGTGTCCCAATCCCCTCCATATCATGTGATTCAGGTGTCCCAATCCCCTCCATATCATGTAATTCAGGTGCGCCAATCCCCTCCATATCATGTGATTCAGGTGTGCCAATCCCCTCCATATCATGTGATTCAGGTGTCCCAATCCCCTCCATATCATGTGATTCAGGTGTTCCAGTCCCCTCCATATCATTGTGATTCAGGTGTTCCAATCCCCTCCATATCTTGTGATTCAGGTGTTCCAATCCCCTCCCATATCGTGATTCAGGTGTCCCAATCCCCTCCAAATCATGTGATTCAGGTGCTCCAATCCCCTCCCAATCATGTGATTCAGGTGCTCCATCCCCTCCCTATCATGTGATTCAGGTGTTCCAATCCCCTCCATATCATGTGATTCAGGTGTTTGTCCAATCCCCTCCCTATCATGTGATTCAGGTGTTCCAATCCCCTCCCATATTATGTGATTCAGGTGTTCCAATCCCCTCCATATCATGTGATTTAGGTGTTCCAATCCCCTCCATATCATGTGATTCAGGTGTTCCAATCCCCTCCCAGTCATGTGATTCAGGTGTTCCAATCCCCTCCATATCATGTGATTCAGGTGTTCCAATCCCCTCCATGGATCAGGTGTATACAATTCCAATCCTCTCCGTGGACACAGTTGTAAACAATCAAGCCCCTAGACAAACATTGGTGAAAGAATGGGTCGCTCTCAGGAGCTCAGTGACTCCAAGCGTGGTCCCGTGATAGGTGGCCACCTGGGCAATAAGTCCATCCGTGACATTTCCTGGCTACTAAATATTCCACGCTCAACTGTTAGTGGGATTATAACAAAGTGGAAGCCACTGGGAACAACAGCAACTCAGCCACCAAGTGGTAGGCCACGTCACATGACAGGGCGGGGTCAGCGCATGCTGAAGCGCACAGTGCGCAGAAGTCGTGTGTGACGGAAGCGTAGGAAGGACAGAACACACACAGAAGATGGGGAACACATAAAGCTTTATTGCACTATGAAAGACACTCAATCAGGACATTTCATGGCACTCCGCGACATGCGGCTTGTAGGGACGCCCCTGGTAAGTGGGCTCACGGGGACTCAACGGGACTTTGGCTGGGGAGTTTGGCCTCAGCACAGATCCCACACAGCGTACTAGGGACGACATCAGGCTCACGGGGACTCAGCAGGACCTTGACTGGGGGGGGCCGACCTCAGCACAGCTCCCACCCAGCTTTCTAGGGACATCAGGCTCACAAGGACTCAGCAGGACCTTGACTGGGGGGGGCCGACCTCAGCACAACTCCCACCCAGCTTTCTAGGGACATCAGGCTCTCGGGGACTCAGCAGGTAGTGATGGCTCAAGCACTCAGGGGCATCCCAGGTAGCTATACTCTGGGCACGCCATGGGGCGGTTCGAGCAAGGGTGGTCTGAGCGCACAACAGGGACAGTTCATGACACGGGTGGTCTGTGCGCACAATAGGGACAGTTCATGACACGGGTGGTCTGTGCGCACAATAGGGACAGTTCATGACATGGTCTGTGCGCACAACAGGGACAGTTCATGACACGGGTGGTCTGTGCGCACACTAGGGACAGTTCATGACACGGGTGGTCTGTGCGCACAATAGGGACAGTTCATGACACGGGTGGTCTGTGCGCACAACAGGGACAGTTCATGACACGGGTGGTCTGTGCGCACAACAGGGACAGTTCATGACACGGGTGGTCTGTGCGCACAATAGGGACAGTTCATGACACGGGTGGTCTGTGCGCACAACAGGGACAGTTCATGACACGGGTGGTCTGTGCGCACAACAGGGACAGTTCAGGACACGGGTGGTCTGAGCGCACAACAGGGACAGCTCATGACACGGGTGGTCTGTGCGCACAACAGGGACAGTTCATGACACGGGTGGTCTGTGCGCACAAAGGGGACAGTTCATGACACGGGTGGTCTGTGCGCACACTAGGGACAGTTCATGACACGGGTGGTCTGTGCTCACACTAGGGACAGTTCATGACACGGGTGGTCTGTGCGCACATCAGAGACAGTTCATGGACGGGTGGTCCCGCACAACAGGGACAGTTCAGGACACGCAGGGTGGTCTGTGCGCACAACAGGGACAGTTCAGGACACGGGTGGTCTGTGCGCACAACAGGGACAGTTCATGACACGGGTGGTGTGCTCACACTAGGGACAGTTTGACACGGGTGGTCTGTGCACACACTAGGGTTCATGGCTTCTGGGACACTCATGATAGGCGAATTGCGCGATGCTCCCAGCAGGCAGCTTCCAGGGACCCAGCTATCAGCAGACAGGGCGGCTTTCCAGGGACCCTCAGCAACGGACGGCGGCCCTCACAGCGGCCAGCGTTTCAGGGGACAGCAGTGATAAGCAGGCAGGGGCTCTCACAGCGGCCAGCTTCTCCAGGGGCCCAGTGATCAGCAGGCAGGGGCCATCACAGCGGCCAGCGTGCCAGGAACAGCAGCAGGGTCATGGCTGTGGGGTTGGCCCCCTCTGAGGGGGCTCATGTGAGCGCTCAGTGGGGACGGCTGCGGAGGCCCGGACCTCCCAGGCGACAGCAGTGGCAGCAGGCTGGTGGAGAGCAATTTACAGCTCCCAGGAGGAAGGGGGAGAGAGTGGCCTTTTAAAAGCCGCGGATGGCCGGCCCAGCGCCGAGTTGCTGGGGCCAACATGACTGGCCACAGTGCAGGGAGCGCAAGCCTTTGTCCATAGGGCGGGAAGCCCTGCACCTCCCAGGAGGCCCCCCGCCGGGATTTCCTGGCGAGGGTCCTGACCACAGCTCCTTTGGCTGAATTGCCGGGGGAGCTGTGACACTTGCCGCAGCGGTCCCCTCCCCTCATCCCGCACAGCCTGCTTCAAGGCTGTATGCGGCGAGGGGGGGGGGGAGGGAGTGAGCAGGTGGCACACGTGACAGGGTGTTTTTCAGGGGTTGGGCTTGCCCCCGACAGTTCCAGTGAAGGGAACTCTTAAGGCGACATTTTGGACAATTTCATGCTCCCAACTTTGTGGGAAGAGTTTGGGGATGGCCCCTTCCTGTTCCAACATGACTGCCCCCAGTGCACAAAGCATGGTCCATAAAGACATGGAGGAGCCTTTGGGGTGGAGAACTTGACTGTCCTGCACAGAGTCCTGACCTCAACCCAATATTGAACACCTACAGGGACTAAATTAGGGGGGCTGCGAGCCAGGTCCCCCGACATCAGTGTGACCTGACAAATGTGCTTCTGGAAGAATGGTCCAACCTTCCCATAGACACCCTCCTAAACCTTGTGGACGGCCATTCCCAGAAGGTCATGTGTTATGGCTGCAAAGGGCGGGGCCAACTCAATATTGAACCCTACGGACTAAGACTGGGGGGGCCATTAAAGGTCATGTGTGGAAAGGGCGGGGCCAACTCAATATTGAACCCTACGGACTAAGACTGGGGGGCCATTAAAGGTCATGTGCGTGGGAAGGGTGGGGCCAACCCAATATTGAACCCTACGGACTAAGACTGGGGGGTCCATTAATGGTCATGTGTGTGGAAAGGCCGGCAGCCAATATTTGGGGCAATATAGTGTATTTGGAAAATGAGTGGCTCCGTTTCTCCATCTATCCAGTTTAGTGGTGTATGAGCGCCCTCCTGTGGTTTCTTTGATTAATAGATTTTAGCAACAACCTTACAACATGTACTGAATCTTCCTTCTCCCCCTCCTGTGGTCCACGTCTTGTCTCCTCCTATTGGTTGGAGTGGGGTGGTTATTGTATTTTTTTGTGGCGGGGGGGGGGGGGGGGGTTCCTCTTATGGAGACCCACAATGCTGTTTGAACTTTGGTGGATGTGCGTCCCATAGTAATGTGTTTTCCTGAAGAAGCGTAGAGTGAAACATGCTGAAACCACCACCTTCACATAACATCTGCTCAGACATGTGAAGACCTCTTCCATCTCCTCAGACATGTGAAGACCTCTTCCATCTGCTCAGACATGTGAAGACCTCTTCCATTTCCTCAGACATGTGAAAGACCTCTTCCATCTGCTCAGACATGTGAAGACCTCTTCCATTTCCTCAGTGAAGAAGACCTCTTCCATCATGACATGTGAAGACCTCTTCCATCTGCTCAGACATGTGAAGACCTCTTCCATCTGCTCAGACATCCTCTTCCATCTGCTCAGACATGTGAAGACCTCTTCCATCTGCTCAGACATGTGAAGACCTCTTCCATCTCCTCAGACATGTGAAGAACTCTTCCATCTGCTCAGACATGTGAAGACCTCTTCCATCTCCTCAGACATGTGAAGACCTCTTCCATCTGCTCAGACATGTGAAGACCTCTTCCATCTGCTCAGACATGTGAAGACCTCTTCCATCTGCTCAGACATGTGAAGACCTCTTCCATCTGCTCAGACACGTGAAGACCTCTTCCATCTACACCAAGGACACTGTACTATTGTAGGGAATATTTTTTTCACTATTGTAAATCCTGATTTATGCTTTCATTGTGTAATAAAATTATCCTATATCCTATATTTAGTGTTAACCTCGGGTTTTCTTCATTGGCACCTTAAAAGTCCCATTTTCTTTGGGCAAATTCTTATGGCATGTGGTGCCCATTGGTTCCCCCTTCCCCTACCATATTTACACGTCTGACCATCGACCTATCCTATGACCTCATGGTCCTCAGATTTGTCCATCATCCCGTCCTATGACCTCATGGTCCTCTGATTTGTCTATCGTCCCATCCTATGACCTCATGGTCTTCTGATTTGTCTATCGTCCCCATCCTATGACCTCATGGTCCTCTGATTTGTCTATCGTCCCATCCTATGACCTCATGGTCTTCTGATTTGTCCATCGTCCCATCCTATGACCTCATGGTCCTCTGATTTGTCTATCGTCCCATCCTATGACCTCGTGGTCCTCTGATTTGTCTATCGTCCCATCCTATGACCTCATGTCCTCTGATTTGTCTATCGCCCCATCCTATGACCTCGTGGTCCTCTGATTTGTCTATCATCCCATCCTATGACCTCATGGTCCTCTGATTTGTCTATCGTCCCATCCTATGACCTCATGGTCCTCTGATTTGTCTATCGCCCCATCCTATGACCTGGTGGTCCTCTGATTTGTCCATTGTCCCATCCTGTCCATAGTTTTCTGATTTGTCCATCGTCCCATCCTGTCACATAGTTTCTGATTTGTCCATCGTCCCGTCCTATGTCCTCATGGTCCTCTGATTTGTCCATCGTCCCGTCCTATGACCTCATGGTCCTCTGATTTGTCCATCGTCCCATCCTATGTCTCATGGTCCTCTGATTTGTCCATCGTCCCGTCCTATGTCCTCATGGTCTTCTGATTTGTCCATCGTCCCATCCTATGACCTCATGGTCCTCTGATTTGTCCATCATCCTGTCCTATGACCTCATGGTCCTTTGATTTGATACCTTTATACTGTTAGAAATGGTTCTTTCATTGGCTCCTGATCTTTAACTTATCTAGAACAAGAGGGCAGGAGACGGTGACTTATTGTCTAACCCTAAGGAACTACAATATACAATACTCAATAAAACCAACAAAA